CTGATCGAGACGTTGGGTGTAGAGCTGTACAAGGGTAATCGGTGAGTACAAAGCAAAGCGCAAATGCAAATTTCTATATACATATGTACATACATACATGGGTGAAGTCCGAGCATTTGTTGACACTTTTTTTCTTTTTATTTCTTTTTTCATGCTCAGGCGGCAACTGCAAGTTCTAATGGAAAACGATCGCTCCCACAATGAGAATATACCGTTAGTGCAGGTTCGCGATGTCATGAAGTACATGAAGCAGCTGTTGTTTATGACTCGAAACCAGGAACAGCCGCCTTCAAAGCGCACACGTATAAGCTAGGAAATGGGTTGGGGAGCACAACATATACAACAACAACAGCAACAACAACAACAACAGCAGCAGCAGCAGCTGCAGCAGCAACAACAGCAAGCTCAACAACAGCTTCAGCAACAATTGAAACACAAGTCGTCTTCGTCTTCATCGTCATCCGCATCGGCAGCTTCGTCGTCCGCCAACACCTCGGCAGCAGCAGCACAACTTCTTCAACAACAACACCAACAACATCATCAAAACGCAGCTGCAGCCGCGGCTGTAGCAGCGGCAGCAGCCATGCATGCACCGCATAGCGCGCATGTAGCACCCCTGGCACCACCGCTACCACACCCTCACACGCACCCGCATTCGCTTGATATGTTGTACTCCCACAGCCGCCAACAACAGCAACAACAACTCCAACACTACCACCAACACGCCCAGCAGCAACAACAGCATTACCAACAAATCAGCGCCGGCAATAGCAACAACGGCAGCACTAGCAACCATGGCCACGGCCTAAGTTCACAAAGCGCTGGCAGCGGCTCATCGTCGTCGTCTACGTCAAAGAGCAGTAGTAGCAGTGCATCAAATGGCAATGTTTCGCGTCATACTGCGTCCTCCACCAACACCGCAGCGCAGCAGTTAGCCGCCGCAGCTGCAGCCGAAAGTGCAGCTGCTTACAACTTCTTATGCGGCTCCGCAGCTGCAGCTGCCGCTGCCGCTGCCACCATGCTTAGTCCACCGCTAAGCGCCAATTCTACGCTTGCAGCGGTCAATCCATTTGCAAATCCTTTCGATTGGCTGGGAGCAGGCGGTGCTACAGCTGCAACGGCACACGCAGATAAACAAGCACGCGCCGCTGCAGCAGCAGAGAAGCAAGCGCGCGCTGCCGATGCTAGTCGCTACAATCGCGCCGCTCAACAGCAGCAACACCAACAGCTACAGCAGCAGCAACAACACAATAGTGCAACGGCCGCCACGCCCTCGTCCTCCACGGCAGCAGCAGCGGCTGCAGCAGCTGCTAATGATTTTATGTCGCTCTTCAGCGCCGCAGCTGCAGCAGCAGCAGCTGGAGAGCACGCGTCTACGCATCGCAGCTCCTCGAACGCCTCAGCGGCTTCGGTGGCAAGCTCGGCTTCGTCTACCGCAGGCGCCGCGGCGACTACGGCACACAAATTGAGCTCAGCGGCATCGTCAGCAGCTTTGGCAGCAGCACACGCATCCTCATTATTCTCGCCACCATCAGCGGCGGCGGCTGCAGCCAATGCATATCACTTGCAATCGCCTAGTGCAGCGGTAGCGGCGGCCGCCGCAGCTGCTGCAGCAGCAGGAACACACGGACTGCCGTCGCCGACGATATATCCCCCAACGCCGCCGCCATCGACGCCCTGGATTCATCCCTGGTACGCGGGTGGCGAGACATTTTGAAGTTGACCCGGACGCGCGATATAAAACACAACAAAAGGCGTGACAGCAAATGCGTTGGTTAAGGTGGGATAAAAAAGAGAGTTAGAAAACGAGGATATCGAGGTGAAATTGTTTGGTACGCATGAACTTGGCAATAGTGTTAAATTTTATCAGCGGAAGCGTTGCGGTCTACCGATTTTATTACTTTATGTGCACAATTCGTTTGCACAACGTTGATTGCTGTTTATTAAGTTGTATATTATGTTGTGCTATGTACATTTTTTTGTTTTGAAAACTATCGAATATAATCGCTTCATATTGAAAGTGATCTATCTAACAGAATTTAGGTTATATTTTGCATTCAATTTTTACTGGGATATTTAATTTGAATAATTTATTGCTGTATTAAAAAAATGTAATCCTTTTGCATTGAGTGATTTAAAAACATTAAGCTTGAGTAAGAGAAAAAAATTCGAATGCGATAAAAAATGTACACCTCCCCAGAAACCATAAAAAAAAATAATGGAACAAGAAAATTAAATGAACAAACACTGAAACAAAGAACTGAATGTAAATTTAGTAAAGCAAAATTTTAATAAATATGTGAACTGCTTAAGGTACTTAATAATGTATTTCTCCAAGTACGCAAGCGTTTATGGATATTTGAAAAATTATTCGCTGAACAGTTATCAGAAAAAGCGTTAACAAGTTCAATAACAAGTTTTCTTTGAAACATAAATGTCACACTAATAGTTTTGTAAGTTTGACTGTAAATAGAGCATAGCAGTAATGTAGAAAATTTAGGTTAGAACCTACTATAAATAGGCCAACCGTACGTTTACTTAAAATGACGGCAAATGGCCATTCTTATAAGTAATTCACCATTAAAAAAATATTCACTCTCAGAAAACTACACCAAATTAAATGAGAAATCAAATTTCGCTAGATTCATATAAATGCAAAAACAAAGAGCCGGAGTAAAAGTTGTCATGTCATTCATGTAGACTCATTGTCTATTAAAACTAAATTAATTATAGTGGAAACTTGAAGCGTGAACACACATTTCTTCTAAGGAAAAATATGAAACATTTTAATAACGGAATTTAAAATGGCTTTATAGATGTTGACTGAAGAACGAAAAAAAAAAAACTAAAATCGAAGTTCCCAAAATCTTATCTACAATTATATTTAGTTAGTCTGCAAATCAAATTGCGAGTTTTCCTTACATTCTAAAATATTAAATTGGCCTATAGCCTACGTACATGCATACGCAAAATTATTCTTTTTTAACCAAATGCTCGTAAGACAAGCAACTTCCGTATGAGAAATAGTTAGCGAGTTCAAATGTAATCCGTTTTATGGATTAAGCACATAAGTTTATCATTTGTTAATTTCTGTTATAGATAAGTAATTAAAAAACACAAATTAAGCCTGCAAGTATTTCTCGCTCCTTATTAGTTAGCAATTGAATAAGCGTTACTTTATTTTTTTTTTTTTATAGCGGTTTTTACATATGTACATAAGTTTGTATGTATGCGTAAATGTAGCATTAACTTGAATTTAATTTGTTTTTAATTTATTTTTTTGTGTGATTTTCTATTAGCAAATGCGAAACAGGCCCAAATTAAATATAATTACTTTATTCAATAAAAAGCTTAAAAAGATGAAAATCAAAGACTAGAATTACTGGTGTTAAATTTAGTATTAAATTAAATAATCAAGCGAAAAGGAAAAAATAAAAACATAAAAATTATAACACAAATAAATACATTATACATCATATTTGCTTAATCAGTAAATAAAGAATTACAACAAAATGCATTGTAAATACATACGTACATATGTTGAAATTAAAAACAAAATAATGTCTTTAATTGGATGGGCTTATAGGAATACACAGTTATTTCGGCCTGTTTTACAAGTAAACAACAAACGTAAATATTAGCCTTATTTGACCAAAGACGATTGAGTACAACTATGTATGTAGGTGGGACTATCCGTATTTTTGGTTATTCGATAGCCGGATATTCTAAACAGTATTTGAGCAGATTCCTAAAATTGTTCTCAAAGTTACTGGATCTATCGAGTTCCAAAATAACTAACACCGTGCGACAAAAACCAAAAAATTTCAAAACACTGAATATGCCCACAAAACTAAAACCCAAATATAGGTTAACTCCTTTTTTTCTCTCTGACGTTAGAATTTGTTTTAAAAGACTTTGTTATTTAGAAGATATGATAATTCGAAAAAATTCGAATTTAGAAGATATGATAAATTCGAAATTGATATTGCACCGTAAGTTTCAAATAATTTTTGAATTCAAAATAACGGTTTTACTATATTTTGTAGCACGGCGCAATATAAAACTGCTTAATAACCGGATATCTAAACACTATTCGGATATTCGAATTTTTATTCCGATGTTCTTCATAAATATATCCCCTAGCTAGAAAAATACTGTTAAGGTGAAGTTAAACGTGGCAATGCAAACGCTTTTTCTACGCATTTTGCATGATTCAATAATACAAGGTACGATAAACTGACAGTTGTCTCTCTCGTACCACTCCCTTAGCAGTGGCACAGTGTTGCCTTTTTTGTAAATTTACTTGGAAAAAGTGTAGCTTTGCTGTGAAATAGAAGTATAAGCTTTTGTGAAATATGTTTATTTGTATATCATATGAAGCACATTTAACTGATGAAAACATAAATTGTTGTTAAATTGGATGTTTACATAAATCTCATAGTAGTTTTATTTTAATTTTGAGTCCTTTTGCATTTTTTATACAGCTAAATAGCACATAAATTACGTAACTCACGCAGATGTATTAATATTTCGTTAAATATTTTGTTTAAACTGCCAGATTTCCTGCAAATACATTAGAATTTACAAAAGGAATTTCACTACTAATTGCCTACTTTGCGTACTTTTCTACTACCATTTTCGCAACAAGGGATTGCATTCTTCCCCTTTTTCAGTCCTTCGTAAATGCAACCTTTTGTAAGGGAGTGTCAAACCGCGGCTGTCAATAATTACATAT